CTTTTCAGACATTCGAGAAGCAATTATCGATTGATACTCCAGCTACTAAAATAATTCGAGGAACTCACCGCACATGAACTTGACGGCATACTTATAGTTATAAAGTTCCGCTTGTCCGGACGATAAACAAATACTTCTGAATTTTGGCGACACACGTGTATTGATCCTGAAAATCGACACTAGAAGAGAAAACCTCATAAATAATTGTTAGAGACGAACCTTCTTCGCCATCGAACGATCCTGCTGAGATGACCGAAAAATTATCCAGAATCTCAAATTTCGCAGACACCTCTCGAGGAAATCTTAACAGTGATAATATGATTTTGGTAAACACAGATTTTGATGGAGATGGAGATTTCTTGAAAATGAAGATTTCTACTTACTTATGCCCGGAAATTGCACTCCTTGAGAAGTACATCATTCTGCCAACACAGAGGAATAAACCAGCAGAAGAAACCCTTTAATCATATGATATTCCTGCACTGTTTATAACGCCACAGGCATTTAATACATTGAAATAAAACTAAATTGAAGGAAAAAACAACAGCAGTTATGTATTGAAAACCTTCTTAGTGTCTAGAGGTCGCTATTGAGTCAAAAACAATCAAGAAGAACTACCGAAAAAATAGGGTTGCTTCTAATGACGCGGCTCAATGAGCACAACGAAGAATACAAGGACTAGAGAAAAAAAGGAAGGGAAATTCAAAGGTATATACAATATGTTCGAGTGATCCTTCTTCACCCTAAAGGATAGCGAAAGGTCCCGCCTGTCCACTTAAGATTGACTGTTATGCTGGGACAGACTGCCACGCGGTATGTCCTCTGCGTTGCGTTAACTGAGAGTGTTCGAAAAATTGGACCACAAGATATTTGAAAAAGGGAGCGCGACGTTGCACGGTGCCCTCATGCTACACCCCCGCTATCCCGAACAGAAATAAGTCTCGTGAAGCCGAATTTGTGCAGAAACCTTTGGAGAGCCTCTTAAATGAATCATTCCACAACGCTAAGCTCATGACTTTTCCCACAGTAATCGATTCTTAGGCCAGTTGATACACTCTAACTCCGCCTTTAAACTTCCTTCAAAACTTACGTTTGCCGACTAGCGGACACAAATATGTTTAAAAGACGATAAGTCCTCTGTTTTTTCTACTTGACACCTTTTCTACTGAAGATTCGAAAAAATTGCTAAAATTCGAAGATAAACCCCCGCCCTCTTCTACTGCAATACGCCCCCGCCGGCAATCTCAAGTAACCCCCCCCCCCAGTTATTCCCTCAAAAATGACGGAGATACAATCACCATCTAGCTCGACCAGGCGGACAGTTGACCCTAATAATCTCACGCCACTGAACTCATCCACATAACAGCTAGTGAAGGGCTTTAAATTGGAAAATCAGATAGTGAATGGAGCAGACCAAGGCGAAATGAGTTCACGGGGCAAAGATTGCCGAATTACCATAGCATAGAAATCACCTGGCCATGGATTATAAAGTAAGAGTAAACCTAATGAGAAAGAAAAAGACTCACTTAAAGACACGCTCAAACATGTGCCGTCTTCCCATATTAGGCAGGCAACCTAAACAGAGCATTTAGATAAAGCGACATTCCAAAATTTGCTGAATGACAGCAAACCAAACAAGTTGGAAATCAAAATGAAGCCTAACATTGATATTAAACGGTAACACTATGTACCTTGTAAAACGCATCACTGCTACCGTATGGATGATGATGGTCTACTCCTGTCGTCATCCACAGTTGACCATTGCTATCCAAAACAAATCCATTGGTACCAAATACGCAAACTGACACTAAGCGGGATGGTCCCTTCCGGTCTGAAAAATATTTAACTGGTGATATTACCAACAAAAGTTGGCCGCTCTATCCTGTAAAACGCACTCACACTATTTCCACCCAATCCAGACCCATCTTGCACCGATGTAACCCCACTCGAACAACTAGTCCACCGGTATCAGCACGTATTGCCCAAACAGCCTGTTCAGACGCAGAAATAGATACTAGTGGCCAATCTCGGTCAACTTTTGAAAAGATAGCCTTTTCAGGAAGTTCCATTTGTAACGACACCTGAAGAATTCACAGAGTAAACCAAATTCATGCTTGATTTTATAATTTCGCTTAGAACATTGCTTATCGCACCCCTTCCTTCGTTATGTACCAAGCCGAATTGTTGCCGACGGACACCTCGGTCACTCCCCCACCATCCACTGCACATTCATCAAATCGAGTTGTAGTAGATAGCGTTTCAGTAGCACAAAATCCGACATTCCGACGAACCATCCAAATGATTGACTCAGCATCTGTACAGAAAGGGCACATACGGTAACAGATAAGAGTGTAAACCCCAAATAATGGGAAGTTTTACCATTGAAGGATACGCTGCTAGCAGACCATTTCGCCACCTGCCATACAGCACTTTTTGAGCCCAGATCATCGAGAGCGATAAAACGAGGTGTCTTCTTTCTGTGACATATTAGAAGGTGTTCACTCCCTACAGTAAAGCATTTGGCCGTGCAAGGTAAGGGGATCTGGAAGAAAAAATCGCAGTTAGAGAAAGGAATGTCTCCATAAAAACAGATTTTGTTTGAATTCTCATCTATTTCCCGTTTATTGGCTGTTGTTTTGAAGAAATTGGAAATGTTTGAAGAAATAGTTATATAGTTTGAAGAAACGTTTGAAAAAAAAGAAGGTAAAGAAAGTTTGAAGAAAAAAAAACAGATTCATTGAAAAAACAGCAGTATATCAACCTGCTATTCCTTCAAAAAATGCTAGAAGAAAGTCAGGCATCCACAATCCCTGAACCCTATGAGTTACGCCACATTTGGCTCCTATTCGGGCTAGGAAAAAAAGAACAAAAAAAACAGATACCAACTTTTGTCCATATATCAACACGATCGTTCAGCACTAAATTACGACGTGATCTTTCGCCACTAACTCTGCTCCTTATCTTGCAAGGGGCGTCCACATTATTTGCAGCCACCTTAACATCTTCTTCATCACAAAGACACTCGAACAGAACCTCAAAGATAAAGTTGAAATAATTCACCATACCTCGTATTTTGTGGAAGATGTCTGTGGAGAGTTCTGCTGCAAAAGATACTCATATGCAACCGTTACCGACTCTGCTCCTTGTACTGACTCTTTTGGGCTGTCAACTACATTTTCTGACTGTTCGCACTCTCCTCTAGGACCTTCATCAGTCTGTGTAAGACCATCATCACGTGAGTTTTGTTCAGTTTGATCTGAAATGATGATAGCGAGCAATAACCGCGCATGCAATCACAAAGTATATCACAAACCATGCTCAGGACTGGGTGTTCCCATAACTGCAGAAGGTTCATCTTTTGGTGATGAGCTGACACCCATGACGTTCTGTTCCTCGGACTGCATATGATGGTCATTGCTTTTTGGGCTATCCCTTGAACTCCATGTAGGCGTAGAGTTGATGCTAACTCCAGACATGCATGGGCTATCGCTCACAAATGCGTCCCCCAGAACTAAAAAGGAATATTGAAAAAACTGGTCTCGACTGACCATTAAAGCAAAAGTGAGATCATAACGAGAGACGAGATTCGTAGGTGCTACAGTGTTGCCTGGAGGATAACATCGCTAACCTTGCCTTCGTAAAGCTAGAAGGGTGTTCTCATCGATGGAGATTGTGTCGTCATAGTGGCTATCACTGATTTCGTGAGATTCGGAATGAGAAAGTCTTTTACGACGAACTCCTTTTTCCTTACGCACAACATTGATAGCCACTGGCTCTTCGATGGCTTCTGGAAGAGATTCAACGTCACTTCGAGAACATACCTTCAAGTAGCAGCAATAAAACTTACCATAAGCATGATCCGGCAGACGAGAAACAGTACTAGGCCTGACCTCATCGCGTTGTGTCTAAAACAGAAGCTATTTTACAATATATAGGCGCCGCAAAGAACGAGAAATGGTAGCCAGTCCAAAGAAAGTGAGCGAACAAACAGAGAGCCAAACAAAGATAGTAAGCAGAAACAGAGAAAACATTTCAGAAAACGAGAAAGAAAAACAAAAAAAAACATACGAAAAAAGTTCCATCATCCGCTTGATCGACTATATCTACCACATTTTGCAAGAGACTACCCAGATCATCCTTGATATTCATTTTGTTCCATGCGTCTTCCAGTATATAAGGCACTGAAGAGAACTTGTTTGACGGCTGTTATACTTTCTGCTCCGAAGTAAGAACTCACCATCAGAGTTGGCACCAATATCTTTTGCAGTGCTAACGGCATTATTGAGGAAAGCAAAACCCTTTTGAGTTATCTGGGAAGCACCGTGGGATATCAATTTGCGTGGAGAAGATAACAATGTGGCAAGATGATCATCAGGTTCTGAAACTTGCACTATACCGACAAAAATAAGATAGGTTAACAACGAAATTCAAGGAGAAAAATATGGGGAAGACTAGGAATGATTCACGAAGAAAACTGCATCCTGAAGAATTACGCCAAAAAAGAACAACCTCCTTCGAAACGTGCGAAGCAAGCAGCCAAGACTAATTATGACCCAGCGCTCTTGTTGTGGATGCGCGTCAGATCGACAATTTAAGCAGCTATTGGACAAAAACCAGCAGGGGTGTGGTACTGTTCCCGGAAATATGGTTAGAACTCGAGCGAAAAAGGGTGCGAGAATGAAAAAAGTAAATTAAACCATGTTGGATAAACGGTTACCGGGTTCTGTCAAAACGTTCTTTATTGGAGTGACACCTATCCGATAAATACCATGCGGCTTAGTAGTATAGAGGATCGAATCATCAGAATCTACGCAAAATCACTCAACGAGAGAATCCGTCTGAAAGGGTCAGCTTCGATACTAATTGTTGAGATCTGAGTCAAAAGTATTTAAATCCAATGAAAAAAAAATCACGCTGATGCTTGATCTCCACAGAACTTCAGACGCCATTATATCGTACACAATAAAGGTGTTCGAGTTCAACAAAACAACAAGTTTCGTGGCGTTTTCATTCCACTCTACTAATCGGAAAGAGGTCACATCATCTCCCTATACTAATGATATCAAAGTCGAACCAGTATCAAATTTACCACAGCGTACCCTGGTAATGTTGAATCATTAATCGTTGTATTAAGTTATAATAACTCTATTTTTTATTCCGAACCATAATAAAGTCTACAACCAAAATTAAGTTTCTCTCCGAACTGCGGATTTTGATACATAGTAAAAATACCTATAAGGAACTAAGATGCTTAACCAACTCTTCCTTGACTATATCCCATCTCGATAAAGTTATAGTGTTTACAAATTTCGGGACTTTTCGAATAACATATACGAACCCTCAACACATCGCAAACTCAATACCATTCTCCTGAAAAAAAGAGGATACATATGGGGAAAGTCTACTACCGTAGGTGATGAGGAAAAATGACTCTATTGAAACTTTGAGCACATCTACGGTCTCCTCCTGTTTTAGTGCACGAAGGTATACAGATCCTGTGAGATCTGTGGACCTTCGTGCACTAACGATAAGGCTCGCATTCCACGACTCCTCGCAGTCCGTTTCAAGTACGGTTGAGGATGGATGAGTATCGAGTAAGTAACAGCAGTCTCAATCTCTAAAAATGACAACTCACATGGTTTCGCTCTCATAGATGACTTCAAAATTGGAAGGCGAATTTGAGTCGATCACTGCTAGCTGTAAACCATTGTCAATGACCACTGAATCACCCATAAATCGAAGTGCGGCTATGGAATTTGGTCCTTCGAAGAGAAAACTATGATGAAAGTCCTCCTAAATGACTGCTATCAAAATGCCGCTCCTCGTTGTCAATTCTTTTTATTCATGGGTAATTTTGTTCACTGAACACCTTGCTAGATACTGAGCTTCAAGTAGAAAATCGACGTCATATTCACTGATTTCATCTTCTCAGGCAAGTTTGGTTTCACGTAAGATTTCGCAAAGATAGTCAAGCCATACCTGGCTCAGAATCAAACAAGAAAGTCAAACCATACTCAGCTCAGAATCAAACCGAGAAACAAATCTGGAACGGACCTGAGATTCGTTCCGAGGTTTTTTACTCGAACCAGGTATGGTTTGCAGTTACACCATCCCCGTCTAAAGGATACATAGTGTACGAAAGATCCAGGCAAAAAACAAAATAGCCAAGAGCACCCTGTCATCGAATTAGCAAGTCCTACACCACTTCATTCAATGAGCTAATCATGTTGATAACCATTAAAAAAGCCACTAATCGCAACAACGACTCACCGTGTCAAACATCACCGTCGAAATTATAACGGTACCAGATGCATCCCGGAGACCACCTGAAACAAAGAGTAAACACTTTGCAATCATCCTAATCTAGACATTCATGGTATTCAAGAACTATAGTAATACTAGCTGAGCTGAGCAGCTCCTTTCGTTCAGATACCTTTTTAGCATCAGGACTCCATTCTACGCATGTTATAGGGGAGCGACGGTGGCTGTCTGTGTCGATGCATTGAGCTATCTGAAAATATCACTTTTTGTGACAAGAAATACAGCTG